CGAGGTGGTGGTGCGGGGCGGCCTGGCCGTGGGCGGGCGCGCCTTGACGTCGTCGTCGTCGGCGTCGTCGTCGTCGTCGCGGGAAGGGGGCCATGGCGCCCTCGCTTCGCGACAGGCGAGGAGTCGGTGTCGGGGGCGTTTTCTTGTTCCCGTTTTTGGGGCCTCTTGGGCCTCCGGGAGGGCGCTTCGTCGCCACGGCTGAGCTCCCTTCGACATCCTCGCCAGAACGCACCCCAGGATGGGTCTGGGAGCTGATTTCTGCCCTTGGGCCCCGACCTGATTCTCGCGTCGGATATGTTTCGCGCCAGGTCTTTTCGTTGAGTTTTGGGCCCCGACCTGATGGATCGGCATGGTTCCAGACGAGCTGCAGACAGGTTGGGTACAGGGCACCAGTCGTGATTTGAATGGCCTCCGGCTTGCGCCGCCGATCCAGGGCGTTCTTGGTGTTTGAGGGCCACCACCGTGCAGCGAGTAGCGAAGAGGTTTGAGGTTCGAGGTGTTCGGAGGTCTTCGTTGGTTCTCAATTCAGCGATTTCGCTTCCGAGCAATACCAAGTCAGACGATGCACCGTCTTGGTGGCCTTCTGGGGTTTCTTCGAGGCCTCTTGGGGCCTCTTGGGGGCCTATTGGGGTCTTCTTGGCGGCCTCTTGGAGGCCTTGGGGCCGTATGGGGGCACCTCGAAAGCCTCTTGCGGGTTTGGGGGGTCATTTTCGGGTGAAGGGCTCGACGGGTCAGTTCGAGTTCGCCTTTGGCCCCTCTTGGGGACAACTTGGGGTCGTCTTGGAGGCCTCCTTTTGTCAGCCTGGGACCCTCTTGGGCCGTCTTGGAACGCTCTTGGGGGCCTCTTAGGCTGTGTGGGGGTCTGGTTTTTGGAGCTGTTTCGGCCGTCTTAGGCACCCTTCAAGCAGAACAGGCGATATCGTTTGAATCGTACCCGAACGGTACGGACCTGGCAGATTTGGGCCTCCTGGGGCCTTGTTGTGGGTCCTCTTGGGGCCGTCTTGAAGCGTCTTGACGCATCTTGAAGGCCATCTTGGGCATCCTGGAGCGCCCCAGGGCTCTCGGACCGTCTCGGCGGCCTCCGGGGCCCCTTTCGACCCGTCTTGGGGCGGCGCTCCCTGCCCCCGCAGCGCCACCCAGACCCGCCGGCAGAGCGGAAGTTCAGGTTTGTGCTGCTGGTCGCCAGTCCCCACGCTCTATCTTTGAGTCGGGCTTGTCCCTCTACAGGGGGGATATTCAAACATGGATTTTATCCCAGTGCGGCCCGACCTGGGAGTTGGAGCCCCTAGGAAAGCAGCATTAGTAGTAACAGTAAAGCTAAGCTGAAACTAAGCTAAAGCTAAGCTAAAGGTAAGCTAAAGCTAAGGTAAAGCTAAGCTAAAGCTAAGCTAAAGCGAAGGTAAAGATAAGCTGAAGCTAAGCTAGAACTAAGATAACGATAAGCTAAAGCTAAGCTACAGCTAAGCTAAAGCTAAGCTAAAGCTAAGCGAACGTTACGTTAAAGCTAAGCTAAAACTATGATAAAGCTAAGCTAAAGCTATGCTGCGCTATGATATGCTATGCTATGATATGATGAGCTATGCTATGCTCTGCTATGCTATGCTATGCTTGGCTATGCTGTGCTATGCTGTGCTGTGCTATGCTGTGCTAATGCTGCGCTGCGCTATGCCGCGCTGCGCTAAGCTACGGTAAGCTAAGCTAAGCTAGGCTAGGCTAGGCTAGGCTAAGCTAGGCTAAGCTAAGCTAAACCAAGCTAGACTAAGCCAAGCTAAGCTAAGCTAGGCTAAGATGAGCTAAGCTAAGCTAAGCTAGGCTAGGCTAGGCTAAGCTAAGCTAAGCTAAGTTAAGCTAATATGACATAAGCTAAGCTTAGCTTAGCTAAGCTAAGCTGGGTGAACCCAGGGCGCGCAACTGGGGGAACCGCGGGGCGGATGCCGGGGGAACCGCCCGGGGCGTTGAACACTGTTCAGCCCTTTAAGTTTAGCGAGTAAGAACCCTTCTAGGCAGAGCCTAGGTAGGGAATAGAAAACAAGATGGGGGTTATGTTTTGAGCATTTGTTGACAATTTTGGATTATTTGGGGAGATTTGTTATCTAATATTTTTCGTCGAAAATCCCCCTGTAGGGGGACACGCCCGACTTAACTCTATCTTATTATCTCTGCTCGCTCTCAGCTCCCAATGCGATTGCCGTCTTGGGCCCTCGCACGGTTCTCTCCGATGCTGCCCAGCTCCCATTGCACTTGCCGTCCTGGGCCCTCGCACGCGGGATCGACGGATTTTTTCTCCGATGCTGCATTTTCTGACGCGACGTTGGCTCTCCGAGAGGCTCCGGCGCCCTCGCGCCGCGACAGAAGTCACGACGGAGGCATCCAGCTGCGCTGCCGCGCGATTCTGCCACCGCGCTCGGGCGGGGATGGGGGCGGCGGGGCAGGGGCCGAGGGCGGGGGGAAGGGGTGCGGTTCTCAACAGGAAGGGTTAGGCCCCAGAGGCCTTGTGCGGGATGCCTTGTGCGGGATGGCGTGCGTCGGCTCTTGCGTCGGACTCTGGGCATCGATTCGCGCTCTCTTGCTTCGTTCTCCTGCACACGTCGTCTTGTGCGCGACCACTCTTCGCTCGACCATTTGTTTCCATTAAATAGTAGGCATCATGGGCACCGGACACGACGAATGGTGTACGGCGGCGGCATTGGATAAGGAATGTCTTCCTGGGGCCCAGACCCTGGCGCATTCCTTATTGTTTCAAGGCGAGGTGGGTAGGTGGGTGGCCCGCGTTTGGCCGCCCATCGGTCGCGAGACCCTGGGTTCCTTATCGAAGGTATCCTTATCTAAAACCTCCACCGTACTTAGGCACCTCTTCTGCCCGGAAGGTCCAGGACGCAAGGGTTTGGCCACAGAGATGAGCGCATCTTGGGCTCGGTGCGTCGGGTGGCACAACGTTGCTTCGCGACTAGCAAGCCCGACACACGCACACGCACACATACACATACACACACACACACACGCCCCACACACACAGACACACACACACACACGAACGCACTCACGCACGCACTCACGCACGCACGCCCGCACGCACGCACACACACACACACACACCCGCACACCCCCCGCACACACGCACACCCGCACACCCGCACACGCACACGCACACGCACACGCACACGCACACGCACACGCACACGCACACGCACACGCACACGCACACGCACGCGCACACGCACGCACACGCACACGCACACGCACACGCACACGCACACGCACACGCACACGCACGCACGCGCACACGCGCACACGCGCACACGCACGCGCACGCGCGCACACGCACGCACACGCACACGCACACGCACGCGCACGCGCACGCGCACGCGCACACGCACACACACGCACACGCACACGCACGCGCACACGCACAACGCACACGCGCACGCGCACGCGCACGCACGCGCACGTGCACGCGCACGCGCACGCGCACGCTCACGCGCACACGCACACGCACGCGCACGCGCACGCGCACGCACACGCGCCCGCGCCCGCGCACGCGCCCGCGCACGCGCACGCGCACGCGCACGCGCACGCGCATGCGCCCGCGCACGCGCCCGCGCCCGCGCCCGCGCCCGCAACCGCAACCGCGACCGCGACCGCGCCCGCGACCGCCCGCGCGCCCCCGCGCGCCCCCGCGCGCGCGCACGCGCACGCGCACGCGCACGCGCACGCGCACGCGCACGCGCACGCGCACGCGCACACGCACACGGACACGCACACGCACACGCACACGCACACGCACACGCACTCGCACTCGCACACACACACACACACACACACACACACACACACAACGCACGCACACGCACGCACGCACGCACGCACGCACACACACACACACACACACACACACACATACACACACACACACACCTACCGCTGCAAGCGCGGTTGCGGATTGCGGCCCTTTTCCGTTTTTGAGGGGGCCATTGTTGGTCCCTTGGGCGAGCAACAAAAACACCTCGAGAGAAAGAACTCGTCCCAGAGAAGTGCCACGTCGTGAGAAAGGAAGAGACAAAGTCACGGCATCGGAGTTCTGAGGAGGAGGAGGAGACGGGGGAGAAGGAGGGACAGGAGGGGGAGGACGAGAAGGAGGGGAGGGGGAGGAGGAAGAGGTAGGAGGCATTGAGTTAAGCTGTTAAGGGGGCGACACCGAGGAAATGCACAGGAAAAGGGGGGAGGAGGAGGGAGGAGGAAGAGAGAGAGGAGGAGGAGGAGGAGGAGGAGGAGGAGGAGGAGGAGGAGGAGGAGAAGGAGGGGAGGGGAGGAGGAGGAGGAGGAGAGGAGGAGGAGGGGGAGGAGGAGGACGAGAAGGAGGAAGAGGAGGAGGAGCGAGGCGGAGCGAGGCGGAGGAGGAGGAGGAGGTGCTCCACCCTGTCGTCCTCCCGCTTCTCCACGTCGCTGGCCTCCTCGTCCCCTCCCCCTGTGAGCGTCGGTCGGCCAGCCGCGTGGCGGGGAGCCGAGGCCCACGCACGGAGAGAGGGCGAGAGCAGGGAGGCCGAGCAGCGGGGCCAGCGCAGGTCCGGGCGCCGAGCGACGGCGAGGGGAGGACGACGGGAAGATGGCGGCACAGAGCGGCGAGGCCCGAGGCAGTGCAAGCCCCCGCCCGCGCCTCCTGCCCCCCCCCGTCTGTCGGGAGGCGCCGTGCGGACCTGAGCGAGGCATCGGGTCGAGGCCGATTCGGGGAGGGTGCCCGAGTGTTCTGCGTGCCTGCGGGATGCTCTTGCGCAGCCCGCAAGGGAGGGCGCCCTCGGATGCCCCGTGTGGCTTGGCCGGCGGAGGGCCTCCTGTTCCTGAGGGGTGGTCTTCTGTCCCAGGTGGTCCGACTGTAACTCGGCATCGCTCGGGCGTGTGCATTTTCCCTTCGGCGGGGACCATCGAGGAGCATCCTTGATCATTTGGCGAAAAAACCACGCACGAAACCGAAAAGGCACAGGGAATGGACGTCCGAGCGATGACTAGGTAAGCATCCCCCCCCCTCCAGTTCCGCCTCTCGGGAGGCGCGCCTTACAGCCGTTTTGGATCAGGGGCGCACGGATGCCCGCATTCCCTTTGGATGCCCACTCTCCGGGGGGCGGAGCGCGGTAGAAGTTAAGGTGCTGCCGCCGTCGGGGGCGCCTGCCCCCCAGGCGGTTGCAAGGCTTCTGATCCCCTGCGGTGGCACGGTGGGGGTATAAACTGTGCAGCCGCCCGGGGGGTTAGGCGTCCCCGACGGCGAAAAAGGTGTACGTTGTACCGTTCGTCGCCCCCCGACACTCAGCTGCTCTACCGAACAACAGCGTTTTCGATGTCTCGGCTTCTCTTTGCCTGCCTTGCGAGCGCTTCGGCTCTGCAGGACCGCCCTCTGGCGCGAGCGGGCGGGGGGCCTCCGCCACCAATGGGGGGGGATCCGGCGCGTGTTCTGTTGTTCGGCTGCTCGTTGGACAGGAACGCAATCGCGTATTTCTGCGGGCAGAAGATGCAGAGCACAGAATTCTTGCACGGCCGCTGGTGCTATGACACAACCCTGAACGTTAGGATAGGTTCCCTGTTCCATCCAGGCGTGGGATACAACGGCGACCTCCAGAAGCCCTTCCACAAACCGTTCAGGAAACAATCGCGACAAGTGACGACCCGCGACATGCTGGAACACTACGTGAACCGGACGGCGAGGGACATGCTCCACGGAAGCCCCGACCTGGTGGTGGTAGACAGCTCCCTGTGGGACCTGGCCGCGTGGAGGGAGCGGGTGCCGTGCGAAGGCATGGCCCGGCCGTGCGGCACCAGCGCGTGCAGCCAGCGCTGCGGCGAGAGCGCGTGCACCTGCAGCGGCAGGGAGGTGTCGAGCGAGCGCGTGGAGCGGTGGTGCAGGCACGACCTGCCTGGCCTGCTGGAGCTCGTGCAGGGCACGTTCCCGACCAGCCGCATCGCCTTCCGGACTGCCCCGACGGTGATCGACGGGAAGGTTCGGGGGCCCCCAAACATTGGTGACCACACCGTGTGGTGAGTCGGCGGGGATTCGGGGTCACCGCACGGTTTTGGGACTCGGGTCCCTCTCCGAGGATGTCTCGGGCGACGTGGGCCTCCAGGGTCCCAAAATGGTGCGGTGGCGGACCGTGCGGTGAGGTCTTGGGGCATTTCGAGGTCACCGCACGGTCCGTCACCGCACCGTTTCGGGACTCCAAAAAGGTGCAAGGCCACGAGAAGTTTACTTCGCGGGATGTTGAGATGCTATACGACTGCGTCACCTCGTCCACGACGGAGGAGAGGCTGTTCGGCAAGTACGAGGTCGTCGACTACCATGCGATCGTGAAGAAGCTGGCCAATGACAACGTGCCCGGCTTGTTCAAGTATGACGGTTACCACCCGAGTTGGTATCCCTCCATGCTCTACATCAATGAGGTCCTCCGTCGTGTCGGTGCGTCCCCGCGGGACCCGGATGCCCATGACGCCCACCCCGACGTCGCAAGCAATGCCCGCATCGCTGCACATGGGCACGACGACTCCGCCACCGCCGACGACGCCTTCGGCGACGACAACGACGACATCTGAGTCCAGGATATTGCAGGAATTTGGGAATTTGTTTCGGCTGACCGAGCTTTTGCCACTTTTGTCTTCTGTCACACATGGTGCTCCTCCTCTCTCATAAGCCGGGCGAAGGCTGGCAAACCCGTGGCTTCTAAAACAGAGCTCCAGGAGATTGCTTTGTTTCTTCGGGAAGCAGCCCGTTTACTTCTTAGTGCGCTGAGCTTGATTCCGGGCATTTGTTGTTTTCTTCCAGGACCGTTCTAGCAGCCACGGAGTTGCCAGCCCTCGCCCAGCTTCCAACTCTCGGGCGGCGGATGACCCAGACCCCCGACGTCGTTTTCTCCCACAGTTTAGATACCCCCAGAGGTCCCAGCGTGCCAGGCTGAAGTCGGGCGTGTCCCTCTCCAGGAGGGATATTCAAAAATAGTGTTTAAACCATATAGGGACGATTTGTTGACAATTTTCGACAATTTTTGAATATTGCTTGGCTATTTTTATTTTTCGTCCAAAATCCGCCTGTAGGGGGGCACGCCCGACCTAATGCCAGGCCCAAGTCGTTCGTGACGGTCCAGGGCACAGCGAGGGCCCCTAGAGGCTGACAGCAGCTAAGAAGCCTCCCGTCGTGAGTTGTTCACGACGCGAGGGGTCTGGGGAGGAAGAGGAGGAGGGGGGGGAGGACAAGTTGGGTGCGCTCGCGTCAACATCTGACATCCTACCCCTCCCTCCCATCCCTTACCATGGCGCTGATTTTCTCTATCCGCGGACGCGTGTCGTAGCGGACCTGTGGCTCCGCGCGCGTGTGCGTAGTGGGTGGTGGTGCGCGTGCGTGCGTGCGTGTGTGCGTGGTTGTGGTTGTTGTGGTGGTGGTGTGTATGTGTGTGTGTGCGTGTGTGCGCGTGTGCTGTGGTGTGACGTGGTGTGGCGTCTTGGTGGTTTGGTGGTGGGCCAGGTGCGTACGTGCGTGATGGCGGTGGTGGTGGTGGCGGTGTGTGTGTGTGTGTGTGTGTGTGCGTGTGTGTGTGTGTGTGCGTGTGTATGTGTGTGTATGTGTGTGTGTGTGTGTGCGTGCGTGCGTGCGTGCGTGCGTGCGTGCGTGCGTGCGTGCGTGCGTGCGTGCGTGTGTGTCTGTGTGTGCGCGCGTGTGATGTGGTGTGACGCGGTGTAGCGTGGTGGTGGTGGGTGGGGTAGTGCGGTGGTGGTGGTGGCGGTGCGCGGTGGTGATGCGCGTGCGTGCGTGCGTGCGTTGGTGGGTGGAAGTGGCGGTGGGTGTGCGTGCGGCGGGGCGGGGCGTGGTGCGGCGCGGTGGTGGCGGGCGGATGGGCGCGCGAGAAAGAGGCCCGCGCTGGGGCGAGAACGCCATCCTGAACGACGGAGGCAAAACACATATCCGAAAATGAGGCCCACGCTGCAGCGGGAGCACGATTCGGAACGATTCGGGAGCAGAAATGAGGCCAGCGCCTCAACGAGAGCAGCATTTTGAAAAAAACGCAGGCGAAAACCCAACTCCCGGGAATCCTGTGTGCAAAAAAACAGTACGCGGGGGGGTCAACTACTTTCAGGCCGCCTTCGGGGGAAGAGGGAGAGTAGTATTCATATTGAGTAACTGTGGAGGAGGAGGGGGAGGAGGAGGAGGAGGAGGAGGGCACCTAGGGGCGCATCGCCAACTGACCTTTACGCGCTAAGGTTGGATATGCCTCTTGATCTTACTCAGATGCCTCCGATTCAGACCTCAATCACACCTCCTTCTCCCCCCATTTCCCCTTCACCCAGGCTCACTTCTACTCAAACTCATTCGCACTCAGACTCGGTCATCTTCAGACTCACTCCTACTCAGACTCACCCACGCTCAGACTTATGCATACTGAAACTTCACCCCCTGTGCCCGATAATAAATCATACCCCATTAACCCTCTTATTTTTAAACCAAAAAATCCCGTGTCGACAGTATTTAGTTGCGGAAAAGGCGCGGAGGCCGAACTTGACAGTCCCCGGGGGGAATTGTGAATCGAAGTTGCTATCATCTTATGTTGACTAGCAACAACATCAAAAACGCTGAGCATGGCAATGGTGGTCTCACCATTTGAGCTTCCGCAATCACGAGCGTGTGGCAGGACAATGGGGTTCTCACTATTTCAGTTTTCCCAAGTCACAAACGTTTTGCAGGGCCATGAGATTCTTCCTCCTCTCCTTTCTCCCCCTCCTCCCATTGCCCCCCCCGCCCAGGCCCCGAGCCCGTTTGTCCCGGGGTTCTTTTTATCCCCGGAAGGTGCCCATCATGGACACATGCGATATTGAAAACGACTCAAAAGAAACAGGCTTTATAATAAAAAACTCAAGGTCCCGAATCCAAGAATTTTCTGAAAAGCAATCCTGGGACCATCCTCCGCTCTCTTCCTTCTCCCACCCTTCTTCTTCCTTCCTTCCTTACTTCCTTCCTACTCCTACTCCTACTCCTACTACTACTACTACTACTACTACTACTACTACTACTACTACTACTACTACTATTACTACTACTACTACTACTACTACTACTACTACTACTACTACTACTACTACTACTACTACTACTACTACTACTACTACTACTACTACTACTACTACTACTACTACTACTACTACTACTACTACTACTACTACTACTACTACTACTACTACTACTACTACTACTACTACTACTACTACTACTACTACTACTACTACTACTACTACTACTACTTCTACTACTACTACTACTACTACTACGACTACGACTACGACTACTTCTACTACTTCTACTACTTCTACTCGGGCTATCCAGGGTTTGGTGGCCGGATAGTCCGTCCGTCCGTACCCTTAAGGGTGGTGATGGAGTTCTGGTAGTGTGTGGTGTGTGCGGTGGTGTGTGTGGTGTGTGTGGTGTGTGTGTGGTGTGTGTGGTGTGTGTGGTGTGTGGTGTGTGTGTGGTGTATGTGTGGTGTATGTGTGTGTGGTGTGTGAGTGTGGTGTGTGTGTGTGTGCTGTGTGTGCTGTGTGTGGTGTGTTTGTGTGTGTCGTGTGTGCTGTGTGTGTGCTGTGTGTGGTGTGTGTGTGCTGTGTTTGGTGTGTGTGGTGTGTGTGTGGTGTGTGTGTGTGTGTGTGGTGTGTGTGGCCGGGGTCCGGTGGCCAGGGTTCGGCGGCCAGCCCGTCCGTCCGTCAAGATGTCGGTGGTATGATGATCACACGTTGGTGGCATGATGATCATATGGTGGTGCTATGATGCTCAGATGATGTTGGTATGAGAATCATATGTCGGTGGTATGAGGATGATCTGGTGGTGGTATGATGATCAGATGTTGGTGGTATGATGATCAAATGGTGGTGGTATGATGAGCAGATGGTGGTGGTATGATGATCATATGGTGGTGGTATGATGATCATACGGTGGTGGCATTATGATCATATGGTGGTGGTATGATGATCACATGGTGGTGGTATGTTGATCAGATGTTGGTGGTATGAGGATCATATGGTGGTGGTATGATGATCAAATGTTGGTGGTATGATGATCATAAAGTGGTGTCATGATGATTATATAGTGGTGGTACGATTTTTTATGGTGGTGGTGTGATGTTCATATGGTGGTGGTATGATGATCAAATTCTGGTGGTATGAGGATCATATGGTGGTGGTATGGTGGTCATATGGTGGTGGTATGAAGATTCTATAGTGGTGATACGATGATCATCTGGTGGTGGCATGATGATCATATGGTGGTGGTATGGTCATCAGATGTTTGTGGTATGTTGGTCACATGTTTGTGGCATGGTAACCATATGGTGTTGGTATTGTTATCCGATGTTGGAGGTATGGTGATCAGATGGTGGTGGTATGATGATAATATGGTGGTGGCATGGTGAGCATATGGTTGTGATATGATGATCATATGATTGGTGTATGGTGATCATACGGTGGTGGTGTGATGACCATATGGTGGTGGTATGATGTTCATATGGTGATGGTAGTATCATCGCATGGTGGTGGTATGATGAGCATATGGTGGTGGCATGATGATCAAATTCTGGTGGTATGAGGATCATATGGTGGTGATATGATGACCATATGGTGGTGGTATGATGATCATATGGTGGCGGTCTGATGATTATCTGGTGGTGGTTTGATGACAATTTTGTGGTGGTGCGATGTTCACATGGTGGTGGTATGATGAATAGATGGCGGTGGTATGGTGATCATGTGTTGGTGGCATGATGGGCAGATGGTTTTGGTATGATGATCATTTGATGGCGGCGTGATGATCATATGGTGGTGTCATGATGATCATACGGTGGTGGTGAGATGACCACATGCTGGTGCTATGGTGATCATATGGTGGTAGTATTATGATCCGATGTTGGTGGTATGGTGATCATATTTTGGTCGTAGTATGATCAGATGACGGTGGTATGGTGATCAGATGCTCGTGGTATGTTGGTCATATGATGCTGCTACGGTGATCACAGGTTGGTGGCATGATGGTCATATGGTGGTGGTATGATGATCATATGGTGGTGGTATGATCATCAGATGTTGGTGGTGTGATGATCATACGATGGTGTTATTATGGTCATATGGTGGTGGTATGATGATCATATGGTGGTGGTATGATGATCCCATGTTGGTGCTATGATGATCATGTGGTGGTGGTCTGATCATCATATGGTGGTTGTATGATGGTCATACGGTGGTGGTATTATGATCATATGGTGGAGGTATGGTGATCATATGGTGGTGGTATGATGATCAGATGTTGGTGGTATGAGGATCGTATGGTGGTGGTCTGATGACCACGATGGTCATACGGTGGTGGTACGATGATCATATAGTGTGAGTACATGTTTCTTATGGTGGTGGTGTGATGACCATATGGTGGTGGTATGGTGATCATATGGTGGTGGTATGACGATTGTATGGTGGTGATATGATGACCATATGATGGTGGCATGATGATCATATGGTGGTGGTATGATCATCAGATGTTTGTGGTATGTTGGTCACATGCTGGTGGCATGATAACCAACTGGTGTTGGCACTGTGATCCTATGTTGGAGGTATGGTGATCAGATGGTGGTGGGATGATGATATGGTGGTGGCATGGTGAGCAGG